TGAGCGGGTGCACAGCGCTGCTGTGATGTTCTCGGCAGCTTTATTCAAACCTTTTTGTGTTGGGTTTCTGTGAGCCTGGGGTAAGCACTATTAGAACTAGTTCACAGAAGGAAATGGTGCGTTCGGATGTGGCCGAAAGGGAGCTCGCAGCCCTGACCAGGCTGTGGGTGCCTTTCCCCGGGGGTGTGACTGGTCCCACAGAAATGTCTGAGCTGCTGGAATCAGCACAGAGACTTACACGGGGATGTTCCCGGTCTCGGGCGGTGGTGACCGCTGCCTACTTTAAGTGTTCTCGTTTGTGGAAAGTTGCAAATGAAGGGGATGGAAGTTTCGGCACTCCCATCCTCCGCGGGAGGGGAGAGTGACTCTTACCTTCCACGAGGGACGTCAGCAGGGTGACGTTGGCAGCTTTGCGCCTTCCCGCAGGTAGATTCAGTCCGATTTTCTCTAACCTTTCCCTTAAACACCGACCCCCGTTTTTTGATTTTGCTCTAAAAAAATAGAAAACAAAGAGGGGAAAAAATTATAATATAATTAATGTTAAAATAACTATAACTAATCCTAGTTTAAGCTTTTAGGCTTGAAGGGAAAGAAGAAAAAGCAAGAAAAATGCTATTTCCCAATATACCACACATGGGAATTTCTCATCCCCATTAATCCGAGAGGTAGGAGCTGGTGCTGAGCTGGCTTCAGCGTTACCCCTGCCCTTCGGCACACAGCGCAGCCCCGCGTCCTGGGGCTGTCCCAGGGCTCTCAGAGCCGCTTACCTGCGGAGGACTCCTCCGAGGAGAGAGGCATTGAGACACTCGGGGGGCGAGAGCCTCCGCTGCACCTCCCCAACCGTCACCTTGTACTTGGAGGTGGAGCTGAGCAGGGAGAGGCGGCCAGGCACGGAGCAGAAGACCTCGTTGGGATTCGTCACCCCTCCGATCAGACCGTCCTTGTTCATCGACAGGGTGGGAATGGTGGTGCCGTTGGCCTTCGAGGGGATGGGCACTGGGAGGCAAGGAGGGGAGAGAGAAGAGAGTGGGGCTGAGAGACTCTGGAGCCAGGGACGTGGCTCGGGGACCCTCCCGGTGACCCTCCCAGCGCCCCCCAGCACCCATGCATGGCCCTCCGCAGATGTCAGCATGGCTGGCTGGGATATCACAGTTAGCTGCTTATTTTCCTCAATAAAAGCAGAGAGGTGGGGTGATGAAACCAAACTAAATAAAGAAATAAAAAAAGGAAGAAGCCCAGTCTCTGCTGTCACCTGCTTTCCCACGCCTCTCAGCTCTGCTGTAATTAATCCCAAGGTTTTGGGCTGGTCTCCTGGAAGGCTCAGGACTGTCCGCAGCATCGCTGGCTGGACCTGTGGCCAGCGTCCCCTCCCTGTCCCCTCTGGGCACGCCGTGGAGGTGGGGTGGCAGGGCGAAGCGCTGGCTTTGGTTCCTCTCCTGGCTTTGGGTCGGGATCGCAGCTGCATGGACACACAGCTGCGTCCCACCGGACAGGACCAGCAGGGCTGAGCCACCACCTCCACACCCTGCGCAAAGCCCGGGAGATGCCGGGGTGGCCGAGGGCTGTGTCTGCCCATGTGCGCCCACAGGAACCAGGGGAAAAAGTTCCTTTGGCTTCCTTCTGCTTCCTGGGCAGAAGTCAGTTACCAGGAGAGGTGCGACAGGCAGCGGTGACTGCGGCATCGCGCCGGGGTGCATGGGCATGGAGTTCCCATACGGCGTTCCAGGGAGAAACGTTCTCAGACGCAATAAAGGTTTATAGGTTAAAATTGTGGCTGAAACCTGGGCCAATCTGTTTTTTTATGTTCTGAAATTAATAACCATTTGAATTGTGGAAAAAAAACACACAGGTTTTGCAAGAGCCCAAAGAGGACTGCAGCTGCCACGGCTGCAGATGGTTCCAGCCCTGGCATTCATTCCTGTGGCTCCTGCTCCGCTGGGCACGCTCAGGTGATGCCTGCAGTCGTGCGGTGGCGTGCGTCGGAGCCACCTGCGTGGTGGGACCTGAGCGCACAGGGATGGAGCTGCCATGCAGGGGGGGAGCTGTGGGCACCGCACGTGTCCATGAAACACTGCACCTGGGAGGAGGCAAACCCGGCTGGCACCAGCAGGAGGTGACATGGGAGCTACAGAGAAGCGGGCTGGCGATGGGGCTGACACAGCTCTGGAGGATTTGCCATCGCCCTGTGCACTAGCAGCATGCGGGGAGGTGCCGGGCAGGGTGGGGGGAAGGATGGATGGATGCTGATGGACAGCGGGGCGATGACATGGAGACACCACGACACTTTGGAAACACATACTGGTGTTTTTAGGAATGATGCTACTGCCAGAAACAAATCCCCTGGAAAGCAGTAACCCAGAGCCCGTCTCTGCGGGGGGTAATGCCCAGAGCAGCCTTACTCCGTGCCATGAGCAAACCATGCGGGCACCAGCACATTCGGCACATTCGGCACGTGCCGGCGTGGGCCAGGGACGCCGTGCCGCGGGGAACAGGACAGGCACTGGCCCGTGGCAGCACTGGAAACGGAGCCGGTCCTTGGGTCCTGTAACAGTGCTTCATCCGTTAGACAGCATTGCCTACCCACAGCCACGCTCGCCATCAATTAGTAATGATTGGTATTTGGCCTCACCTGCTGCTGTCTGCCTGGGCTGATCTGCAGCGTGTTTGCCCATAAACATGCTGCAGGAGGGAGACAAGCTACCGTTAAAGCCTGACAGCTTTGTTTCCTTGGCTTTTGGGGAACCAAAATTGTCTCTTGGCATCTGAGTAAACCAAAAGTCCCCCTCGATCTTCAGCGGCTGCTTTCCCGATCCCGCAAGCAGCAGGTGATCGGAGCACCTGAGCCAG